GAGGTTCTGCCTGGCCGTCGCTAATTGGGGCAGTTCCCGGTGGAATTTTTTGATGAAATTTTTTGAGCATCTTCTTCATTAAGTCTAGTTTACTCATACCAAATTTCAGCTAAAAATTCAACCGGAAAGGCAGTCGAATGATTTTTTGAAATGTACTGCGCTGTTTAACTTCACAGTTATCTTCAAAAAATCATTTGACTGCCTTCCCCGTTGAGTTTTTAGCTGAAATTTGGTATGAGTAAACTAGACTTAATGAAGAAGATGGTAAAAAAATCTCATCAAAAAATTCCACCGGGAACCGCCCCAATAGACGACCACCGGGCAAAACCTTCATATAAGGGTTCTAATTGAACACTTTAAGTCAGTTAAAGGACTTATTTGACCCCTTAGTCTATATTAAAAGACTCATTTTCTATGTCTAAAGGCCTAAAGCTAACGTGGTATTTAGGTCGCCCCAGGGATGGATTTAGGGGGGGGGGCGGCGGCGGGGGGGCGACCCCCCCCCTTTTGGACTTTCAAAATTTTCTACCATATATGTAATATTTTCATAAAACTTTCATAATTTAATTAGATTCGCCCCCCTTAGCTTTTAATTTTCAAAAGTAATATATAGTGTTACATAATGTAATACTTAATTGAAGATTTAAAAAAAAGGAACATCTAAAATAATTACATAACTTAAACAAATAAACAATAGAATAACTCGTTGTTTAAGATTTAGTATACTTATTATAAAAGAATTCCTAGTTTTGTAATGTTTAATTATTTTTATTAGATAACAAGTACTTGATTTTGTAAAATATATATCAAACAATATTAAATATCAGACACACTAATTACACAGTTTTTAGATCACGTAAAATGAATCCAAAATATAAATGTTTATTGACATTAAATTACATAATTCATTTACTTCTTGCTTTCTAAAAATAATTTATTGCATAGATAATAAACTTTAAATTATTATAGCATTAATACAAATATTAAAATATAATATTCACAATATATGTGTGTGTATGTGGTGCATACTATTCTAAAAATAATAATATCATACATACTACTATTGTAATATTAAGAAAACTTCTCATGAGTCATGACTCACGAACACCCTCCTTGGTGGCCGGACAAAAATTACAATTCAATAATAACCGATTCACGAGGTTAAACAATGTTGAAGTTATTAAAAATGTATTATTGGTTGATGTCTTTGTCATTGTCTAATTTAAACTTAGAATGTACAACTTAATAGATTTAAATGTCGTTGGGGATGTAAATGTATTAATGTCAACTAGTATTCTCACCCGTGCGATGCACGGTCGAAACAGATAATCTTGTAGTAATTAAAACAAAAATTTGAAATTCAAAATGATACATCAAAACTTTTACAATGACCAATTCAGCCACCACAAACAAAACCATGTTATTCGATCAACGTAAATTAACATGAATAAATTTAAATATTTTGTGGTACTTCTTGATAACCTTCATTGGTTCCTTCGAGCTTTGATCTTTTTCATTTGTTCCTTAAGAATGTTCCTTAACCCCCCCCCCCCCCCCCCCCAAAAAAAAAAAAAAAAACTTATGTGACTAACCAAAATGTGTAGTAAGCAAAATTAAATTCATGTTAATTGCTTTTCTTAAGAAAGTACTTATTGTTTATATTTTCATGAACTCTGTATTTATTTTACTTATTAATAATGAATATTGCTTAGCTTGAGCAAATAATATAATAAGATTAGAAGGATTGTTTTTTTGAAGGAAAAACTGAATATTGGGAATATGTTTTTTTAACTCAACAAATCAGGCAATGATTTGTTACACCAATTTGAATAGACTTTACATACTCAACCAATTTATACGTATATTAACGAAGGTATACTTAAATATATTGATGATTATTGATGATATGACATGGCGATAAGAACTAAACATGATTTATGTTTTGTACTTCGTATTTATCTAAATCTCTTTCGGTTTACTTTCTTGCACAATATAGGCCGGGTTCAATTCAAGTCTTATGGTATATGATCCATGTCCAGGGTTAATATGGTTGATGGACATGGATATGTTGAAGCATTGAAGAAGTAAAAAATCCATTATCATCTCTTGAACAATTCTTTTCCCGTCCCATAAAGATTTCCATATCACCTTATGTCTAGCTTCTTCAACCCGTTTCCCTTGTCTCTCTCCTTCTCTGCAACCTCCCTACAACTATCAAACTAATAAAAAAACACCCAAGCAATCATCGCTTCAATGCATGAGGCTCTAATTTATTTGATCTGAAATCGACCAAACTATCACTTTTAACCCATATTCCTCAAACCTTATTGTGTATGTATGGCTGCTCAGGAATACTCACATTTCATTTCAATCTTGTACGTGTTACTTCTTAGAAGCTTTATTACAATTTTGGAGTCCGGTAGATTGTTAAATCCCTTAGACCCTTATTTAAATAAATAAATACGTAGTATGCTTTAGCAGGGAGGCCAAAGGACAACTATAATTAGATTTTATATTTACTCCAGATTAGTTTTTCGAGGGAAACTATAATCAGGAACATTGAGCAGCGTATTGTTTAATTACACTACAAGAAATTCGCAAATTAGTGTCGGATATTTGCGTCGGCTGTATTATGGGCCGCTGTTTAGTGTCTGATTTTAGTGTCCGATAACAATCCGACATAAATTGGTGTCCGTAATGGTCCGTCACAGTTTTGTGTCTGAAATTTGTGGCGGAATTGGTTCGGTCACAAACTGCTGGCGGACTGTGATCTGTCAATAAATTCCGACACTAAAATTAAAAAGTCAACTACCCTTATCCCAACATCAGGAACCCATGTTACCCACACAAATATTATCTGCTTATCTCTCTACCTGCTCTTTTCGAATGTAGCATCTCAGGCCTCAATTCAAGGTTAGAATTTTACTTAGTAACATCAATTTTAGTTTTATATATATATATTTTATTAGGTTTTTTCATCCTTGTATATCTAAACTGAAAATGTGAAAAACAGATGTTTTCTTTCTTTTATGTAGAGAATATGTTGTTAGTTCTTTATTTTTTTTTTAAAAAAAATTGGACTAATCAACTTTGTAGATATATGTTTCCTTTGAGTAAAAGTTTAATAATTTGTGTTCAATTTGAAATGATATATTAATTTGTGTGTAGTCACTTTATTGTATATGTTTATAATTTGTGTGATGACATAATGTATTATATGATTAGGTTACAATATTAATTAAATTACAAATGGAGAATATAATGAAATAAGTTCTTTACTTATATCCAATATGATTTTATATAGTTATTACATTTGTATGAATAAAATGAACTAGTTCCTAAAGTAATTTAGTCAGATGCATATGTAATGTGTAATATTATATTTTGTTTGTGTAGATCTAAAAATGAGCGAAAATAGATCTTGGATGTATGAAAGGCTTGCAAGGCGAGGAGTTTTAAATGAAGATTTTAAGGAAGGGGTTACACAATTCATCCAAACAGCGGTAAACTTATATCCTAATGGTGTTATTGCGTGTCCTTGTAGAAAGTGCAAGAACAGAAAATGGTTAACATGGAATATTGTTAGACAACATCTATTTGAAAAAGGATTCGTGGAAGACTACTTTGTATGGGAAGCCCATGGGGAGACACATGACTCCAATGGATTAGTTTATTTGGATCAAAGTAGTTCTACTCATAATAATGCATCTGCAGTGCAATATGATCCGTACAAATCGATGTTAGAAGATGCAATAAGGAATGAGTGTCCAACGGATTTTCACCATGGTACCAATGTAGATGGTGATCCTAGTCCCATGACATCAAAGATGTACAAAATGTTGGATACGATGGGTCAACCGTGTTTTGATGGATGTCCAATGACGCAGTTGAGTGCGATGACAGAAATGTTAAACATAAAGACTGAGATGAATTTATCAGAGGCTGCAACTGATAGAATTTCTCAATTCGTGAATCGTTTTTTTCCAACAAACATCACAAACCGACCCATTCCAAATTTCAACAAAATCAAAAGAGAACTCTCACTACTGGGAATGAGCCATCAATCCATTGATTGTTGTCCAAAAGGCTGCATGATATATTGGAAAGCAGATAAGGAGTTAATACAGTGTAAATTTTGTTGTACCGCAAGATACAATATTAGCGCGCAGACTAATAAACGTGTTCCACTAGCAAAGATGGAGTATTTTCCACTCACTCCAAGACTGCAAAGACTTTATGCTTCAAATACTACAGCGGAGGATATGAGGTGGCATAAGTTTCATCACAGGGAGGAAGGGGTGATGCGCCATCCATCAGATGCGAAGGCATGGGTTCATGTTGACAATCTCTACCCAGATTTCGCCGAAGAACCGCGAAATGTTAGACTGGGTCTATGCACAGATGGGTTCCAACCTTTCGGGCAATTCGGACAAAAATATTCATGTTGGCCTGTAATTGTGACGCCATACAATTTGCCTCCGGGTATGTGTATGAAACAACAATTTTTATTTTTAACTATATTAATTCCAGGGCCGAGGAATCCTGCAAAGGGGATTGATGTTTACTTGCAACCATTGATTGAAGAGCTCAAGGAATTGTGGGAGGTTGGAGCTATGACATATGATGCGGTTCTAAAGCAAAATTTTAATATGCGAGCCATTCTGCTATGGACAATTAGTGACCTTCCTGCATATGCCATGTTATCAGGATGGACCACAAAGGGAAAGTTTGCATGCCCATCATGTACTGAGTTTACCGAAGCATTTTGGCTACGTCATAGCAAGAAACATTCTTGGTTTGATAACCACAGGAAATTTTTACCATATGACCATCCATTTCGGTTAGATGACCATAGTTTTACTAAGGGTAAATCTGTCTTGTATGGCCCTCCACCGCACAGAGATGGTTCATATTGTTATGATGAGGTGAGTTCCCTAATGTCTGTGACAGAATTGGGAGGTATAGAGTATAATGCAATAGCTGGAAAGGATATCGGATGGAAGAAACGTAGTATATTTTGGGATCTCCCGTACTGGAAGGATTTGCTCATACGTCACAATCTTGATGTGATGCACATTGAGAAGAATTTCTTCGAAAATATCTTCTATACAATTTTGGGAGTACCTGGAAAGTCAAAGGATCATACACAAGGGAGGATGGATATGGAACAAATTTGTCATAGGCCGAGTTTGGGGAGGGACAATGATGGTAAATACCCTAAAGCTCCATTTACCCTTTCAAAAGAACAAAGGGATGTCTTGATTAAATGGATTGATTCATTGAAGTTCCCAGATGGTTTTGCATCTCGACTGGGGCGGTGTGTGGAAATGGATAAGCTTAAGGTATTTGGTATGAAGAGTCACGATTGTCATGTCTTTATGCAACGCCTACTTCCAATTGCCTTTAAAGAGATGTTGCCTGATCGAATTTGGGAGGCAATTACTGAGATTAGCTTATTCTTCCGTGAGTTAACAAGAAAGACAATATCAGTTTCCGATATTGAGAAGTTAAAGGTAGATATTCCTGTGATTTTGTGTAAGCTGGAGAAGATTTTTCCACCCTCGTTCTTTGACCCTACAGAACACGTTGTTGTCCATTTACCCGATGAAGCTTTGCTTGCCGGACCTCCACAATACAGATGGATGTATCGTTTTGAAAGGTAAGTGAATTTTTGTTTTTATACAGTCAAGATGTGTTCATAATTAGGTGCTAATATAAACATTTGATTTGTATTCCTTACTTTCTTAATTTTACTATTGTTATAGTTTTCTAGGATCAGTGCTGAAGACGAAAGTCGGAAACAAAGCTAGAGTTGAAGCTTCTATCAGGGAAGGTTATTTGCAAAGTGAAATGGGCACATTTGCAAGCTACTACTTTCCAGACGATGTACCCACAAAAGCTCATCGTGTACCTAGATTTGATGACGGTGCCCTGATCAATGATGATGCTAGTGTTTCCATTTTCGCACAAAAGGCAAAAGTAATTGGTGCTAGCTCTCGGCGTTACATGGACCAAGATGAATCTCTTGTAGTACATTCATATGTATTACAAAATTGTCCGGAGATTGAACCATTTAGAGAGTAAGTTGCAGTACTATAATTTTTTATTATTACACACATGAATTGCATTTTATTACACACACACGCACTGTTAATATTTTTTCGGTTTCATTACAGAACGTTCCTCAACACGACAGGATCAACAAGTGATTGTGACACCATGTTACAAAAACAATTTCCTCTTTGGTTTTACCACCATGTGAGAATTTGGAATTTACTATTTTTTAAATGAATATATTTTTATGTCATATATTTTAGATAAAAATTGTTGATTAACTTTGCTTATATTTAGGTGCAAAATGATATGACAGACCATCCACGATGGGTTCGTGCTTTATCAGGATTTCCTTCACCCTATGTGACAACTTACCAGACGCTTAATATAAATGGTTATAAGTTTAACACTGCTGCACGATCTGAAGACAGAGCAACCTCAAACTGTGGGGTTATGGTGAATTGCACAAGTTATGATGGATCAACACTTGAATACTATGGCTTAATACAAGAGATAATTCAGTTGGAATATCAAGATTACAAGGTGATCGTTTTCAAATGTGAATGGTTTGAACCTTCTAATAGAGGTACACGAGTCCATCCACAATACAAGATAGTTGACGTGAACATACAATATCGATTACGTGGTGCAGATTGCTACATTTTAGCATCCCAGGCCGATCAGGTTGTTTACGTGTCATATCCAAGTGCAAAGAAAAGGGTCAACAGATGGTTTTCTGTTGTTCAATGCATGCCAAGAGCTTTTGTGGAAAAAGACGGGGGAGGAGATTCAAATGACGAGGAGGAACCATCACAAGAGTATCAAGAAAATGAACCTGGAATATCATTCCAAATTGAGTTAGATTTTTCAGAGCTACAAAGAAATGATGGCCACTCAAGTCAATTGCTGACATCCACTACTCCCGTGTACATGGACGATGCATTAGATGGAACGTATGATAATGAGCCCGTTGATAATGAAGACAATCAAGACTACGAAGGAAATGTTGTAATTGCATATGATGATGATGATGTGTAAAATGGTGACAACTTCTATGATTATTTAATAATTCATGTTTTTTAGAATTTTAATTATTCGTGTTATGAAAACTGGGTGTCTCGATTTGTTATATTACAATACATTTAAATTGGTCTCTTTGTATTTTAAAAAATTAAAACTATGAAAGTCTGGTCTGGTCTGATTAGGTCTGGTTAAATTTGGTTTGATCTGATATGTGACTGGAAACAATCTAAGTAAAAACATCCTAAGTTGTCATGAAGTTTATTATTATTTCATTTTATTTTTTTAATATTATTTAATTTTGTTAAAGTAATAAACTATTTGTGCTGTTATATTATTAAAATTTAGCAATGAAATTAATAGAAATTAATAATAAAAACAAAAAAATCAAAATATATAAAATGTTAAGTCCTAGATTGATAGTTCTTAATCATTCGAATCTTATACCGATGCATTTCATCTTTCGAATCTCGGATTCATAAATTCCATTTTACAAATGTACAATCGATTTAGGATGTTTTTACTTGGACAGTGATATGTTCCAGACCAGATCAGATCAAACTAGACCAGACTTGGATAAGTTATAAAAATGCAAAGAGATCAGACAAGACCAGTTCAAATCAAATCGACCGGACCAGTAAATTACGGTCCAAATAAAAACATTCAATTCTTATTAGGTAACAAAACATTAGGAGGCCGTTTGGAACCACTGTTTTTCAGCTTATCAGGCTTATCAGCCAACTTTTTCACCAAACACATAATTTTTGCTTTTCTGGCTGTATTGGCTGAAGTTACTGTAGATGACTATTTTAGCTATTTTTACATATATTTTTTCTTTATTTTATTAATAAATATATTTTAAAAATTATTTTTTCTTAAATCAGTAGAATCAGCCAATGCAGCCACTTCAGCCAGAACTTCATAAATTTCAACAGAAACATCCAAATCAGCCGATTTTCGTGCTACCAAACGGGCTCTAGGCTGGTTCTAAAAACTCCGGCTTCATCTCCCTCCAATTTTTTCGGTATTCTTATTGTGAAATTTTCAACTCCCTCCAAATTCCCACCTAAATCCCAAGATTCCCTCGACCCAGGCCCAAAACCCTCCTCTTAAACGCAAAACCTAACAAAGCATTTCACTTTTTCTCAACTTAGTCTCAGACCAGCAACTCCAACGTAACTCCAATCTCTTATCTTCATGGTCAAGGGCTAATCGATCGTTACACTAGAATGCTTATGAATGCCTGCTAGAGATTATTCGCGAAGTCTCTACTCCAGCGCACAAGGTAATCATCACGGTCTACTATTTCTAGAAAATGCTAGAGATTATTTGAGAATGCTTATCTACAAAATTTCTATGCACCGGTAATGCATTTATCCTTATTTATGAGTTTCTCTTATCATTAAGACTTCTTATTTGTTCTGATTTTCAAATTTCATTTTCTTAAGTAATTTCCTTTAAACTTGAGGGTTATGATGGTTTACAGACATGTTTACTGGAAAAGGAATTGATGACTTGTGTATGTTTCTTTTAATTATGGTATAGACAGTGTTAAAACTTGGCTATTCAAGTGTTTGTTAATTTGTCTAGATGACCAGTGTACCCTGTAGCTATCCACAATCCATTACCCTGTTAGTTAATAAGCCTTGATACAGTAAACATACATCATTACTAAAATATGCATGCCAAGTGTTTGTTAATTTGCCTAGATGAGTACTTCCCCTTATAGCCCTAAACAATCCAATGTGATTAAACTAATTCTAGATTGTCTCATTACTTTATTAAATTCTAATACATTCTGCTACCTCTAACTATAAATACTCACTCATTTAATTGTGAATGCTTCATTATTTAGGTAAATTTGGTGATATAGAAGCACAAACACCATGTTTCCAACTAAAGGACTGGGTGGTGCCATATCAAAGAGCAAACAATGTAGTATCCATAAAAAACCAGCCAGTGCAAGCAACTCAAAACAGTCAGCCAGTCACTCCACACCGTCGACGAGTCACTCCACACCGTCTACCTTACTTGGAGTAAATGGAAAAACCCCTGCCTCGCTAATAGGGAAACCTAGCCAACATCTCCAGCCTCCTCCATCCCAATATAATCGGCCTCATGGTGCTAGACCTATCATTTCACAACCCACTAACACACAAGTCATCCCAACACCACCAAACCACCAGCCTTTTTCCAACAACAGCCAATCTGCATCACCAGAAATGGACGGTGATCCACTAGAAGGCAATGATTCCACAGAAAATATAGATGAAGGTGCTGAAGAGATTCCCATTGATTGGAACCCAGAAACATATAGTCATCTTAATTGGGGTGAAGCACCTTTGGACCCTTTCAAACCAGTTTCACTTGCAAAATTTGAAAAGCCTAATGTTGGTGTAAATGCAACAGGGAAGTAAGTTTCATTGTTTAGCTTAAGTACCCTTCTTTACATTTTTTTTCTAAAGTGATGTTTCTAATGGTTTTAATTTACATGCAGCCTTACAAACATAATTGTGAACAAAACCAGTTTAAAGTTTGCAAGAATTATTGGTAAGCAAGTCACGTATAATTTACACCCGGCTGGCCAGAGATGGAAATGGGTGCCAGATAAAACAAAGGAGCTTTATTGGGAGCAGTTTCAGGTTATTTATGTCTGATAAACATATATCGCTTATGTAATTCAAATATTCTATAGTTCCTAATATAAATATTTTTATTTCACAGAGGTTAGTTACATGGGATACCACGAAATTCAGTGTCAAAAAAATAAAAGAAGGTTATGAAAGTTATTTGAAGGAACAAGGCTACTCCAAGATTATGAGACGAATAAGGTATCAGAATAAATGCTTTCATCAACTTTTTTCTAATAATCATGCTATCTTTTAATGTACACTTTTTACTTGTAAACTATAAAGGAAGCGTCGCCCTGCCACTGTGAATAATTTTACTTGGTCAGTCGTTAAAGAGTTTCAGCGGTCAAAACAGTTTCTCATAGCTTCAAAGTCTGGGAAAAAGAATCGTGAAATAGGCGGCGATAGATGTAAGCAACACGGAGGATCACAATCTGCCGTTGATTTGGCTACACAAGAGGTTATATTTTAATTTCATATAATGTTAACATAGATTTCAAGTATTTATTCCAAAATTTAATGACATTGTTATAGTTATATGAAATATAGTACTTTGTTTCAGTTGATGCTGACAGGTAAAGAAATAAATCCTGTGAAGATGTATGGCAAATACCATCCAAAGAAAAATAAGAATGGAGAGCTTATTGTTTGTGACTCACAAGCTGCAGAAATGGTATATACTTTTCATTTAATAATTTTTGTTTTGAGAAATTAAAGAGTGGCGCAAACCTTATGTGGACTTCAAATTACATTATCAAACTTACAATGACAGTAATCATGTGATAAGTATATAGAAATCTTTCAGTAAAAATAGTAATGATGTGATAAATGTAACAGAAAGTTCAGATCTTAGCAGCAAAGTTTAGGCCCTCCCTTCCTAAATCTTCCAAGCTTAGAACAAAAGTGTAAAAATAGTAATGCTTACTTCTGAAGTTGAATTCGTCATTATATGTTTGAAAATAACAATTGCTTTTGCTAATATATTTGAGGGTAGTGGATCAGTTCTAATAAATTTTCATATTTGGATGATAGGGTTTGAATCCAGATTTCTTTGTGATCTCAGTCATTTGCTTACTTCTGAAGTTGAATTCGTCATAATATGTTTGAGAATAACATTTGCTTTTGCTAATATATTTGAGAGTAGTGGCTCAGTTGTAATATATGAGAGCAAGAAATAAGATTCTTGGATTGACATTTCAATTGCTTCTATTAGTTATGTTTCTCCAGATTTGTGAGGCATGAGACAACTGAGTTTGATTTCTATACTCAGTCATTTAGTCCATCATTCATGTTTTAAATCTTTTATAATTTGCAGCCTATTAATTATATTTGTATAAATTTTGTGTATAGGAAGCTGTGGATAAATTGTGTGATGATTTTGGAGATGATGTCGAAGAACAATCTCAATCTTCTGATCAAGAGGAAACCGCAAGGACATCCAATGTTAAATCTTCTCAATTGCATGCCAAGTACCTAGAAGTTGTCGGTTGCAAAAAGAGAAAAGTGCGTGGAACGGGAAGCTATTCAAAGGCATTTCTTCATCATGTGAAGAATTTAAGTGCAAAACAATCATGTTCAAAAGCTCGTCGGATGCATCACTTTTGCGTCACTTGGGACACACACTTGAGGAAATGGTTGACTTCACATGGTGATGAGTGTCCCCCGGAAATGCCACTTGTTGATGATGATTTGCAAGATGAGGATCCTGATTCACAGCCCAAGACATTTGAAGAAATATGGCTACCATTTCTGAAATCAAGAGGAATTGATCTTCCAAATTGTTTCCCAATACTTGAGTCTTCTAAAGATGCTCCAGAAGACTGCCCAGACTCTATGGATGAATCATAGTCTCTTTAGAACATTGGCAACTAGTAATTTTGATTTTTGTTTATGTATGATGATCTGGATTATTTAAATGAACCTGAGGTCATGAATATTTTTGGTTACTAGCTACGTTTATATGAAATTAATTAAGGTTTGTATTGGATATATTTTGATTGTTGCATACTAATATAAATTTCAAATTTTGGCATCATCTTAATTTCTGTTTGAGGTTCTTATCCAACTGTTTATACTTTATATTGTTTTAGTTTATTATCTCATTTATTATAGAAATCTGATGCATTTAAAAAATTATTAATTAAAAAAACATCATTGACGGATATTTGTGGCGGAATATCGGACAATAAAAATTGTGGCGGAAATTTCGCCACTAAATTCCGTCACTGATTAGTGTCCGACCTTCTATTCCGACGCAACACAAATTAATGTCCAGATTTTAGTGTCTGAAAATCCGACACTGAAGTCCGACACTAACGCCGTTGCTGGCTGTTTTACTGTCCGCAAATCCGACACTAAAACGCGAAAATTCTAGTAGTGTTAATAATTTGGAGGACATAGTTATAATGCTGCATTAATAATTTGTTGCTTTCAATGTCTTGGAAACATATTCTCTATTCCTTCTTGCACACTTCTCTAGCTTTTTTGGTGGAATGGATCGTTTTTTGTGTATTCATTTTTTATTTAAAAAATCAAATATAATGTTTCCAACTTCAACACATTTAACCACTTTCAGAATTACCAAATTAATATGAAAAATCTGATAATCTTCAGACTACAAATTGTTTGGTTATGAAATTTAAAATCTAAGCAAAAAACTTTAAAAATTAATATGATAAGTAAACATTACGGAATATTAGAAAAGCTTGTGAGTAACAATTTATTGTGTGAATATCACAATTCGTAGTTGATTCAAAAATTGTTAACAGATTTTAAAATAAAAGTGAACTCATTTTATAAGTTAATTTACAGATCTCACTTATTTTATAAGTTATTCTATCTAGATCTTCGAACCATATTATGCCCATTTTTACGCATTCGTGTATTTTTTAAAATCTGTTAACAATTTTAATTATAAGCAATTTTAAATTATTGTTGTAACTTATGAATTAAAAATTGCTTCTAAAGTAATAATTAAAAGTTTATATCTCAGATTTTAAAGTTCTCACAATTCGTAGTTAATTCAAAAATTGTTACTCCGTAACAAATTTCAAAAATTGCTATTTAGAAGCAATTTTTAATTCTTAAGTTACAACAATAATTTGAGGTGTGAACTTTATTTTGAGAAACGTAACAACTGCAACGGAAGAAAGGTGATTTAAAAATGCAAAAACACTCAAAAAAATTGGAATGCGAAGAGTATTAAAAAATGCATTGGTAAAAGAAGAATTTCAATTGGTGGGCTAAAATACGAAGTAGTGCTCCTCTCAAAAAAAAAATACGTAGTGCATGTCATTAAGAAATATACACCGTATGTTATTTTATTATCCGGCAAATTTGCATTGGGAGAGGAAGAGCTTTAATTGGTGGACCAGGCTATATTAAATGTGCCGTGCGAGAAATATTTTCTCCAGAATATTCCACGGGCAAGTTATACGAATGAGAAGGCTACCGTGAAAGAATTATTCATGAGGTTTTGGTGGGAACTTCTTTCCCAAGAAACTTTTTGTTATTATATTAAGATAGATTTTTGAATAAAATTTGCCGCATAGCCCTACAGTAGCGGAAAAAATTCGCCCCGCTACATTAGGGGGAAAAATTTCGCCCCACTACACTAACGAAAATTTTTTCACCCTCTACACTACCGAAAAATTTCGCCCCCCTTAAATAGAAATCCTGGATCCGTCCTGGGTCGCCCACAAGTCCACAACTTATGTGAAAAAATCACGTGTTTGTCCATGCGCTGGAAGAGTTTACGTAACTTTAGTCCATGACTAGTAATTTTCTACACATCTTTGTTTGTAGCTAACCTCATAACCTCACAATACTATCCTAATTATCTCTTCACCAGACAGAGAGATATCTTTTGCTTTCAAAATTCAAGCTTTCTGTTTTCTTTATGTTACGGTTATGGACTTATAGTGAGTGATTTCCAGTAGCAAACTCCATGAAGTGATGAAGTATATTAAAAATGTAGTAATAAGTTACCTAAATAATCGTGAATCAAAAGTGGGTGAAGTTGTTGATCGATGAATTGTATATACAACTAATACAAGGCTGGTTAAATTTACTTATATGGTAGCAGTATGGGGCTTATAATTTATTATTATTATTATTATAATTTGAATGTCACGTTAAATCCAACCCTTCGATCAAATACATTTCCAACTTCCAATAACTAATTCATAATCTCATGATATATACCATTTTTGTGCTATAGTATATATGTAGTATGTACTACTCCAAAAGTGAATAATTTTCTTGCTGGCCGGAATAGCTGATGATGACGTCACGATGATGCATCTCCAGCTCTTCCTCCGCCGTCAAATGGCTACTTGACGACGTTGACGGTGGCGTTGAAAAATCGGACAATAAGGGGGCAGGTTGTAAGCAACTGAAATCATTCACGTCGCCTAATGAATAGAGCGTTGACGAATCGGACGGTGGAGGATAGCCACCCCTGGTGGACGGCTGAGGATCACCGTAGTAGCCGCCGTCTTCTTCAACAGTAAGACGTGGCAAATAATAGTCCCCTCCTCCCGTCAAATTAGACGGCTGTACATCGTTATAACTTTCCCACTCATTGGGCTGCCAATAACTTTCATCCACGGCGAGAAGCTGGTCCGTATTGGGCTGCTCCGTGACTTGAGCCGGACTTAGGATTGGGCTACTTTGGGTCATTGTATAATCTTGTGGATTTTGGAAGCCCAAATTTGACATCGGGCCTGGGCTTTGAGAAGAAAGTAGAGAAGCAGTAGGAGAGCTTAGGAGGTGAGGATTCAGCCCACCTAACAATCTTGAAAGGCTGATCTGTTGAAGAAGAAAAAAATTAAGAAATCTGGGGGCATGGGTTACGGGATCGATTCCCATTCTGAGCAGCCTTTTCCTGATGTGAGTATTCCAATAATTCTTTATTTCGTTGTCCGTTCTTCCTGGCAAGCTTGCAGCTATTGCTGACCACCTATATATAATTATATATATATATTTGTCAAACTAATCTCAGATATTTATTTATAAAAGGAAAAGTTGACAAAAACAATCTCACATTTCACTGGTCTTCTCATAATAATCTCACCCTTACATAATCTCAGAATAATTTTACCTTTGCATCTCATCTTCTTTCATTGTACCCTGACCTATTGATGACCTATTATACCAGGTTTTTTTACTCATTCTTTGAAAATATTATATAAATAATCTCACCTTTATAAAGATATAATAAAACAGTGAAAGGTGAATTATTTATATGATTTTTAAAGAAAGGATAAAAAACCTGGTATAGTAGGTCATCAACAAGTTAGAGTCCAATGAAAGAAGATGAGGTGTAAAGGTGGGATTATTCTGAGCTTACGTAAAAGTGGGATCGTTTTGAGAAGACCAGTAAATTGTGTGATTTTTCTTGTCAATTTTTCCTTTATAATATTATATATATGCTGGAATAAGAACCTGACCGCTTTCTTCTAGAAGAAAATCACACATAAAATGTACTCCATCCGTCAAGAAAAGTAGAATCATGTGGTTGATAATAAGTTGATAAATTGAGAGTAAAGTATGAACTAAAACCATACAAATGTTACCCAATATGGTATGAGACAATAATAGAGGTACATCAAAAAATGGAAAATGAGACAATTATAAGGGACGGATGGAGTACTACTTTTAATAATTTACTGTTTCAATAATATTAAGTTCCTTTCCCCCTCTTCAATTGAACTCAATAGCTTTATGTTTTTCCAATTCAATGTAAACTTTTGTTTTTCATAAACTTATAAATATTCCCTTATCATTCACCTCATTAAAAAGTGTTATTTCAATGACAAGTGTTAAAACTAACTTTTCAAGCGTCACATCATGCTATGAATGACTATGAATTTAGAATGATCGATTAATGGTAAGACCTTACAAATTAAACCCTAATTTTGTTTGGAAGTTAGATTTTGGAGGAGAAGAGGAGAGAAGGGTTTATAATCTTCTTTTCGTGTTTGGGTATTTAAAAACTTGAAAGGGGTGGTAAAAAATCTAAATCTTTCAAAAGGCTCACTTGTTAAGTTATCCCATATTGGAGAGTTTTGAAAGATAAGTATTTTAATATTTAGATGATAAATTTAACTGAATTTATAAAATCAATACATGTTCAATTATTTGAATGTATTACACCTCTGAAACGATTTAAATTATAACTAAACATTCATAGCCTATCTTTTTTGAAATTTGTAACTGCCAAATATGAAGAATAATTTCTTTCACTTCTTCTCCACTTGTCCTCTCCTACAGGTTAACTTTCAAAGCCTTCCATTCCGCTTCTTTCCATACTCCCAAACATACCCTAACAATCGAACAAAATTTTTTTCTATGAGAGGAGGTTATAGTACTGTTGTTATATTTGTGTGTATAGTATACGTATATATGTACATATAAATGTTTGTAAAATTTAAAACAAAACAAAAATGTTTGTGTAAAAAAGGCGGGGATACAAAAATGTGCATGCATAGAAGTCTTTGATTTGAACAAATCTAATCATGTAGTTTTCTTTTTTCACCGATGTTAATTCAAGTGGAAAGATAACATCACGTTCCTAACTCTTATAAAGACTAGTTTCTAAACTTTATAGATTGGCGCGGGTAGTAGTTGAAGTGTATGATTTGTTCACATGTAAATGTCATATTCTTTCTTATCATATTTGGAAGGATAATTTGAGGTTCTAAACGTAGTATAGAGATATATGGGAGTTTCCAAATTTTAAGAGATACTACCGTCCCATTCAAACGTTCCAAACCACTATTCACATCGTCAACTTATATCATTCTTAATCTTTTGCTTTATATATCAATTTTTTATCAAATTTATATTTCTTTATCAAGTTTTGTAGCGGTAATGTAGTTTTTGAATATGTAAATTTTATTCACTAAAATAAACAGATTGTGAATAGGAATCAAATTACTTTATCATCAGTCAAGCATCGTAAACTAAACTGAATCGAAAACCTCCCCATGGAAGGACGGGAGTCGTAGGCATTTATTTGACCAAAACAAGTGCAGTACATACTTGTTTCCTAAGACACGATGGAGCTGAATTATTGTCTCTTCTTCATCAAAGGAAAACCTTCCTCTCTTAATATCAGGCCTCAGATAATTCGTCCAACGTAGCCGGCAGCTCTTTCCACACCTTTGCAAACCTATATAACACATTTCGAGGCCGGGCCGAGATTATTGACATAACTATATTAGAAACACATAAATATTATGGAGTATTAAAGTATCTGTTTCACACCGAATTACTATAAAACAATCACACACTATATTATATATGATCCTACACTACTTCTTGATGGTGATATTAGATTGATTTTGTAGAACGTAATAGCATATAAATGAAAGCCAAATCAAAGTTGAAGTAAATAATATAAGTACTTACCAGCATTCTTGGGGAGGGTCCTCCAATTTCCATGGCCATGTTTATGGATGTAATCAATAAGAGTTTGATCTTCATCAGGGGTCCAAGGACCTTTCTTCAGTCCATTCTTTTCACAAAATGGTGCTCTCCCCATCTTAAATCAATTCATATACTATACCAAAAACAATCTGTCGATCTGTTAATTAATTAGTTTGTACTTCTATACTCAATTGGAAACTAATAATGATCGAGCTTGGACTATAATTGCTTATTAATTGCTATGCTTAGTATGTATATGATCTGAATGGGAATTGAAGTAATAGTTTAAGTGGTTAGCTTGGAGAGTGGTGTGTATATATAGAGGGATGGAGAAATGTTGGTTAGTCAAAGGCATTCGGTCAAAACCGCCCTATGTGTACACTTTGCAACGTGTCCCTTTTTCCTTTTTGTAGAGAGTATAATAATAATAATAATAATAATAATAATAATAATAATAATAATAATAATAATAATAATAATAATAATAATAATAATAATAATAATAATAATAATAATAATAATAATAATTGTGTAATGAAATTCAACCCTTTGATTGTACCCTCCGCCCAGAACCAATTAAAGGCAGCCACAAACGAGGGGATGAAATGTCTAAGGGAGTAAATGAGCCGGGCCGGATGGAACCAGTGCATGCTTTAAATCACCGTTAGAAAATCTCAACAACAAAAACTCCACGGCAGAGAACCATTAATGCTCGGTTCGTTTCGAGGTTAACCTAGGTTATTGCAGTTGTTGCAGATTTGATTTCTGATCAACTTCGTTTATTTGTACTTTTAGGAAAATAACCTAGGTTGTAAATAAATTTAAGTTGACTTCACATAACTCCCAATACCTATGAAAATCCAAAATTGAAGAACCTTCCAATTGAGTGATTTTGGAGGTTATGTTCTCGTAAAACAAAACAAAAACATCATTCATTCCATTAATAACTGTCACGTTTCACTCATCTCCCCTTATCCACACGTTCCTTCTCCCTCAAACTGTCTTTATGGACATCATTTCTCGCCAACTTCAATCACCCGCCAACTTTATAGCAGCACCAGACCGGGTTTTTGTCTTCCTCTCCCCCCTCTTCTCCCTTATTTCTATTCCCCTTCTTTTCGGTTGTAGTCTCTACTATAATCTACACATTTTTTAATTGTCAAGTGAACAATTTTTTGATATCGATCTATTATCATAAATAAGATCACTTTGGCTTAGTCGAACATATACCTCCATTACAACCGCATATTCAATTGTTGTTGCAGTCTCAATCACAAATTCATGATCCATTGTTTTAACTTTGTTAGACCAAATCTCATGTGGAGCATCGACAATATTCATGCACTAATACTATACATATACATATGAAGGGTACAAATGTCATCATTAAATTAGAGCACGGCATCCAAACAACAATTTATTACAACCTAAGTTTAATTTCTCACACTAGATTTACTTAAGTCCACTCCACCCGATCAAAGCATGGTTAAAGTGTAAAAATAAGAGTATATTTTTAGAATTTCCTAAATAGGAGTATTTTTTAAGTTTGAACAAATAAAGATACATCTGCAGGAGTTGTTTTCGGCCACCGCAGCCGGAATCCAATACCGTTGGAAGTTTCCAGAATGCATCAGCCACAAGCCACCTGCTGTCACCACCACCACCAGACTGCTCGCGCATCACCAACGGAATGACCAGCCACTAACAAGTTGACCCGATTATGCAAGGTAACTAGAGGTCAATTAATCATATTAATTAATTAGATTAAAGATATTAAGGGTAGAAAATTAGTGGCTAGTTCTATTCACAAAAAATTTGGCATGAACTCCGATCATATTTAGGAATATGAGTATGTTTTACGCCTATTAAGAGCAATTACCTTTGTATTCTCTCACCCTAAACATGAGAGTGTGATCACTTTAATTTAAAGTGAAATATAGAATAAAAATGAAGTTCATATAAGGAAAAAGGCTGTGTTAAGAATTTACAATGTGTTCCACAAAGACCAAGTTTGAGCCTTGGGTATATTAGGCTCGAACTATGATAAAGAGCATTTACAACAATCTCAAAACAACTTCAAATTATCAATTATACTCCCTCCGTCCCAGGGAGAAGTTCTCACTTTCCTTTTTTGGTAGTCCCAACAAAAAGTTCTCATTTCCCTAAATGGAAAGTTATCCTACATCAAAACAGTGTCAAACAGTGCAAAACAGTGCCAAACAGTGTCGAAACAGTGCCAAACAGTGTCGAAACAGTGTCAAACAGTGTCGAAACAGTGTCAAACAGTAAAATTTACCCCTCAGTAACTTTATTTCCTAAATATGTGTGAAAGTCAACCCGGGAACTTCTCCCTGGGACGGAGGGAGTATATTCTTAACATTCTTATATGTTAAGAATATAGTAGTAAGAGTGAGCAAGTGTTATTACATGCTAGTGAGAACATGCCCTGTAACAATGTTATTGTTCGGTACTTCGGTGGTAATCGGTACCCCAAATGTCAAGCGTCTTTCACTTCTTTTCAATTGGGCCGGAGCTATTGGTCTAGTCGCGAACACGACATGTCTGACTCCTGTCGGGCCCCAATCTATTTATATCAAGATTGTTTCGGTCTACTACTTCCGTCTTAATTTGATAATCATGTTTCTTATTCATTTGGTCAATACAAATAATTTTTAATCTTTTATTTTGTATATCTAATTTTTATTGAATTTGATTTATTTTTTTGTGACTTTGTAAAACTTTTAATATAGTTTCTGAATATTTAAATTTTATTTTATAAAATAATTTGAGTGATCAGTGATCCGTTTGTTTTATCGTCAGTGAAATCTCATAAACCGCAATCAGACCATCAAATTGGGACGGAGGTAGCATTATTTAATCTCTTTTTCAGTACAAATTAAGACATGGTCCTATTTTATCAATTGAAAAGGGTGTAGTAATAATATAATTACTTAGTATATCCATCATTTTTTCTTCTATAAACAAATCAATTTTCTAATGACTGTCTTAGTGATCAAGCATTGGATGTCTAAACCCTAGACAATAGACATGCCAAAGTAGGAAATAGCCTAAACCCCAGTCATACCAAAGTAGGAAATAGCCTAAACCATAGACATGCCAGAGTAGGAAATAGATACATCGAATGGATTTACAATGCTATGCCATAGATGCAGGTGGCATGCATTAACTTGATTTGCCATATTTGGTGAATGCACAATGCACAAATGTCAGGAGTTGGCGATTAGGCTCTGTTTGCAATCTCTGTTGATAAGTGCTTTTGTCTTTTTAAGAAAAAAACACTTATTTTATCAAACACTACCAATTTTATTATTTCGGTTTTCGTGTAGAATCTACTTTTTACTTTTCCAATTACACAAAAAACACTTATTTTATCAAACACTACCAACTTTTACTACTTATCACTTTTTCCCAAAAAGTGATTTTATTTAAGCACAAGTGGTTGCAAATAAAGCCTAAAGCTACCACAATCACGAATGGTTATCCCATTTGGTAGCACGAAAATCGGCTTATTTGGTTGATTCTGCTGAAATTTATGAAATTCTGGCCGAAGTGCCTGCATTGGCTGATTCTGCTGATTTAAGAAAAAATTATTTTTAAATATGTTTTATTAATAAAATAAAGAAAAAATTATATGTAAAAATAGCTAAAATGGTCATCTATAGTAACTTCAACCAATACAATCAGAAAAGTAACTCCAGCCATATTTTTTTTTCTTATTACACAATTCAACGCGCGAAAGCAAAAGTTACGTGTTTGGTGAAAAAGTTGGTTGATAAGCCTGAAAAGCCGAAAAATAGTATTGCCAAACGGCCTTTCAGTTTCTTCGAGCTAGGATTGTTTATAAGTTAAGTAGTACCAATTCGAACGCAAGACTCTTAATAAGGATGTTAGATAACTATGCAAATTAGTAATTTAATCGAATATAAGACTAGGCATCAATAGAATGTAAATAAATAAACTGTTACGCATAAAAAAGGGCATTTGCCCCCACTCATATATCATGTGGATAACACCTAAATTCCAAATGCTGGATTTGGTCCAAATGAAAATAGTTAATTCTTATAAATTTTAGTTTGAAAAGCATAACATATTGGATATAGGCTGGCAATCCAATTTATGAAAGTGCAACGGCTTAGTTTGGGCTAACTTTGTGTACATAAAAGTGAAAATGATTCAAGCCCAACAACTCCTACACTAAATTCTTCCCCATATGGGAAGTCCTGAATTCAAGTCACTAAAGAGGTAAATTTGTTCTTCCAAATGATGGTCCTATAGGTTCTGTTTGCAAACACAACTAAAAAAGCACTTTTCAACTTTTGGCTTAAATAGTTAAAAAGATGTTTTCAAATGACAACTTCTACTTAAATGAATTACTTAAAAGTTAAAAGCTAAAAGCTGCTTTTTACTTTTTCTATTACACAAAAAACACTTATTTTACCAAACACCACCAACTTTTACTTTTCAAAATCACTTTTTTCTCAAACACTCTCAACTTTTACTATTAATCACTTTTTTACCAAATCATTTAAAAAAGTTAAAAGCACTTCCCAATTGGGTTTGCAAACAGGGCCTTAGGCCCGGATGAGATCAAGAGTCACACAATCAGTGTTTAGCCTCGCCTCAAACGATAGCGTGACCGTCATTTTCTTGATGGGAACCTGGCGGTGTGAAGCAATCATCGACAATTCTCTCGGGAGATGTGCTGGGAAAAACCTTAAAATACACACAATCAATCAGTTAAAAGTGATTTCTTGTACGAGGCGGTGTATACTGTATAACATCGCAATAAAATCTAATGAGACTCCCATTCCAATTATCTTCTCCTTCTTCATCAAAATACTAATTTAAGACCCCGATCAAGATTTTACTATATTTTCTTCATATTCAGATTAAATTAGTAGCAAATATAGTTTTTTCTTATCTATCAATTTACAGCTAAAGATTTAATTAGTAATCTAAAACAAAAATTAGAGTTTGTATTTTAAAGTCAAGAACTTTTTCAAGTTTCACTTTATACTTTATCAATTCGTGTGATTCATAATCTATAAAAATATACACTACACTTGCATATTTGTACACACCTAGTTTAAATTTTTGTATAACGTGACTTTCACATTTGGCACATGAAGCTTACACTTTGTATTACGTGACTTACATATCGGCACATGAAGTTCACTTTTTGTATAAAGTCATTTACACCAGCATTTATACATGTTTTGATTGTAATGTATCACATTTATCCTAAATATATCAGGAG